CAGGTCTTACACCAATACCTGGCCTGTGACCCCCTAGTATAGCGTCCCAAGGGCACTACAGCCGGCCTCCACCTCACACTCACAAATTCATGAAAGCTGCTCCCAAGTGGCTGTGGTGTGGGTTTGTGGTCACTGAACACCATGAAGATGACCCCAGGGCTCTGCAAACTACCTTCTGTTGAAAAAAAACCTTTTCCACAGTTTGTGGGGGTGGGGCCAGTCAACCCAGCACCCCAGTTGCCCCTGGCAATGCAGCTGTAGGTGGGTGAGGTGGTAAAGGCTGTGGTCAGTAGTATCTACAAATTCAGTGCAGTCTCCACTCCTGGGCCAGTGCTAGGTCCACGTCCACTTCATAAAACAAAAACAAAGCAAGGCAACCCAACAACACCAAAAAACAAATACACTCCCACAGAAACTCGATAAGCAATGATCAGACAGGAGAAACAAAAGTATATAAAAAAGACACAAACACAAAAACAAGAATAAGACAGAAAAACAGTGACCAAAGCAATATCCAGATAAACAAGTCTGAGAAACAATGACAAAAACAAAACAGATGAAAAAAAGGAAAAGGAACAAAAAGACGAAAGAGAAAGAAAAGAAAAAAAATAATAAAGAAAAAAAGGGGGAAGGAAAAAAGAAATTTAAAAAAAAAAAAAAGGGCTCTCCGCCCGCTTTAATTTGCAGACCACTTGCTCAGCAATAGAGTCTCTGGGCGACTCAGCACCAGCTATGTTGGGGGAAGGGCTCAACACTTCATGTGCCCGTCTCTCTCTCAGGCTTGCAGTGAGATTCCCGCAATTAGCTGCTGTGTGCTCTGGAACCGTGCTTACCACCAAAAAACCCTCACAGGTGGTTGGGGGCTGTCTGCTGCTGCAAAAAACCCTCTGTGGCCTGCAGAGGTGGGGGCCAGGCACCAGGGGCTCAGGGTACCCCCGGCAACACAGCTCTAGGTGGGCGGGGCAGGTCCCCAAAGTACCACAGGGTGTGGTCAGCGGCCCCCACCAAGTCAGAGCAGCATGCACTCCTGCACCAGTAACCAGCCCGCACAAACGCTCAAGGAAAACCCCAGCTGGATCACGCAGGCGCACAGCTCCCGGCCCAACACTCCCAGGAAAACTCCCAGTCTCCGCCTGTTCCAATCAGCCGCTCACAGCTCAGGCCGAGCAGCCCGACAGCCAATCGCCAGGCTGACAACTCTGCACATGCAGTGCGGAGAGCAGGGACCCAAGGTGGCTCGCGCACTCCTGTATCTCAATGAACAGCCTGTTGGAGAAAGAGCATGCCCGCCAGGCGTTTAGCTGGCTACACAGCACAAGCAGTGCGGAGGGTGGGGATCCAAGACCTACGCGCACACACGCACTCCTGGTGCACACACGCACTCCTGCGCCAATTCCAGCCGACCAATGCGGGTCCCGGACCTGACCCTCTGTGGGAGTGCCCAACCCTAAAAAAATGGTACCCTCCTGTGTACTACTTGTGTGCAAGCTCTACACCAGGGGAACAATGGTCCCAAAACCTCCAGCTCCCACGCCAAAGGTGCTCAGTTCAGTTCTTCCCCACAGGTCCTGGGCCCCGCTCACACAGCCACTCCCTCCACCAGGGAACAGGTGAGTGCTCACTGGTGAGCGAGCTGTTTGCCGGCTACACTGGTTCTCTAACCACCCTCAGCATCACCAAGTTGAGCAAACAGAGTCCTCACTAATTTCTACTGCCAGCTATTGTGGAACTCCTCTTCCCGGCAAAGTCACTCTGGGCTGGCGAGCTTGGTGTGGGGCCGGAGGGTCTCTCCCCAACCGGAGAAACCTCCCCACCACTGAGGTGTCCCTCACGGGGTTCACCCTCTCTCGTCTCCGCCCCTCGTACCAGACTCGACTTGGCCTCCTCTTTAAGTCCTTCATTTAGAGGTTCTGTTCATCTAGTGTTCAAGGGACTTTCGAGGTTGAATGTTGTATAAATTATTTGCAATTTTGGTGTGTCCTGGGAGACAGTTGGCACAGCGTCTGTCTATTTCGCCATCCTACCGGAAGTCTCTTCACTGAGACTTTCCTGGTTACTTCAGTATTAGCTTGTATAGCGTTTTGAAAAAAAGTAGATTATGAAACCACAGGCTACAATCTTTAAATCATTATGACAGACCACAGTAAAGAAATACATACTTTCAAACTCTTGAAATTATTTATTTAAAAAATATAAGATAAAGGTAATATATGTAGGGACTTTCAGCTAAACACTTATTTAAAACTTTGCATTAAATAAGAAGATGGACAATAAAGGTGCTCTAAAACTTACGTTTTGCTTCTGATAGATTCTGATTAGGTGACCAGACCAGCATGCCCAGATTGTCTCGTTCTTGACTGCGTCTTGCTAATTTGGCTTGGTGGACATTAAAAAATAAAAAAAAATCTTATTATAATTTAACAGACAGAAGAAGTAATCATTAACATTACCACTCTGGTCTTTTACACCTCCGAACAAGATGACATCACCCACCCTTTACTGAAATCTGCTCCAACGGAACTTGCACACTTACCATCACAGGATGAGGGTGGAAGTAGAGGAGGCTCTGAAGTTGGCTGAAACATTTCTACTTCTAAGTCTTTTCCCATTTACTATTACTTATTTAACAAACAGGTATGTATGAGGTAAGTACAATTATTATTCTCGTTTGTTAGGTTAAGAAACTAAACAGGTCATACAGCTAGAAGGAGGCAGCCAAGACTGAACTCAGACAGAATGGCTACAGTGCCCAAGGGTTTAAGCAATATATACTATGTATGATGCCCTGCTTTCAGACAAGGGACATCCAAATGGGAAGCTACATGTGGCAAGTTGCTTAAAGATTCTTTCAAAAGATGGATCCTTCAAGTGTGCTTTGAATACCCTTACCCTTCTCTGTCAGAGTAACTTCTTAGTGACTCAACAAGAATCCAAAGATTCTTTAGATAACTTTATTAAAGAATAACCATTAAAAAGATTTAATCTGGGGCTGGCCGAGTGGCTCAGTTGGTTAACAGCGTGAGCTCTGAGCAACAGGGTCCCCAGTTCAATTCCCACATGGACCAGTGAGCTGTGCCCGAACTGAGCTGCCAACAGGTGACAGGATGGCTCAGCTGGTGAGGGCACGTGTTCCTAACAACACTGCTGTTTTGACTCCTGCATGGGATAGTGGGCTATGCCCACCCGCAACTAAGATTGAACATGGCACCTTGAGCTGAGTGGCCACAAACAAGCTGTCGATGGGTGGCCAGATGGTGACTGCACTTGAAGCTGAGCTAGCTGCATCCTCCACAGCTAAGATTGAAGGACAACAACTTGGCTGTTCGCCTTCCCCAATTCCCCAATTAAAAAAAAAAAGATTTAATCTGAACGGAAACTTCTGAAGTGCATTCAAATTCTTAAAAATCTGTGATACAAAATAGTAGGCCAAAAGGTATACGAGGTGTGATCCAACAATACGGTGAATGTTTAAATTTTTAAAAATTACAGTAAAAGACACATTGCCATTAATCCCTCTCAGAATACTCCCCCTCACTTCGAACACACTTACCCATTGTTCTTGCCACTTTCTGAAGCAGTTCTGGAAATCCTCTTTTGTGAGTATCTTTAGTTGCGCTGCCTTGCAACTTGTCATGGCTGCCTCGATGTCCTGAATCATTTTGACTTTGGGGAAGAGCCAGAAGTCGCACAGTGCCCGATCCGGTAAATAAGTGGATGAGGACACACCATAATGGTTTTATTTGACAGAAAACGCTGTACCAGAAGCGATATGTGACATGGAGACTTTTTGTTATGATCACAAAATACAGTGAATGTTGCTGCCAAGTGCCATCCCAAGGAAAGGCAGGGAACTTCAATACAGGAAGTGGGGCAACAGACCTTAGTAACAGTGTGTGACAAGTTTCAACTTGTTTAGTGCAATCAGTCGGGTGTGAGCTACAGTTGAAAGGTGTGTTTTAAAGTGTGTCATAAATCATCCTCCATCATAACAATGCTCTGTGTCATACATTGCTTCTGTTATGTCAATTACTGTGAAATGAGAACATTATGGTGTGTCCTCATCTACCTTATTCACCGGATCTGGCACGGTGCGACTTCTGGTTCTTCCCCAAAGTCAAAATGAATGAGGCCACCAAGGCAGCACATGACAGTGCAACTAAGACACTAACGAAAGATGACTTCCAGAACTGTTTCAGAAAGTGGCAAGAATGATGGGATAAGTGTGTTCGAAGCGAGAAGTATTCTGTAGTAAAATTCATTTATTTAAACATTCGCCGTATTGTTTGATCACACCCCATACGAGTGCCATAAAAAAGAATGAAATCTTACCATTTGCAACAACATGGATGAACCTAAAGGGTATTATGCTAAGCGAAACAGATCAGACAAAGAAAGACAATACCATATGGTTTCACTTATATGTGGAATTTAAAAAAACAAAACAAATGAACAAACAAAACAGAAACAAACCCACAGATACAGAGAACATTTTGATGGTTGCCAGATGAGAGGGAGGTTAGGGGGCTGGGAGAAAAAGGGGAAGGGATTAAGAAGTATAAATTGGCAGTTACAAAATAGTCATGTGATGTAAAATACAGCATAAAGAACATACGTAATAATATGGTAATAACTACATATGGTGTCTGTTGGGTACTAGACTTATGGGACAGATCACTTCATAAGTTACATAAAAGTCTAACCACTATGCTGTACACCAGAAACTAATATAATATTGAATGTCAACTGTAATTGAAAAAAATTCTAAAACCTTAAAAAATAAACCCAGATCTAACAGGATGTAAGTAGAATTACAAGGAAATGGAAATTACCAATTCCCATCAAGAGGAAGGTGAAACAGTATTTGCACTACTTGTGGAATGTACATTTTACAGTTAACTTCAGAGAAAGTTGGCAGTGTGTAATAAAGTTGGCGGATGGATACCCTGCAACCCAGCAATCCATTTCTAGATATACCTATATACAACAGCAATGTTTTTCAAACTGCAGTTCAGACCTACTGAAATTTATTGGGTCCTAACCAGCATTTTTTTATAAAAATAATTTTAAAACACCAGCATATTGTTGAATTAAATATGTGTATAATACTGGTAGAGATTTTTGAAAGTTTGAAAGTCCCTGCCCTAGGCCCTTTAAGGTGTACACACGGGAGGACAGGTGCTGCTTAGTTTTGTGTGTCAACTGCTTTGTGTGTAGGTTGGAGTAACCAGTAGTTTAATCAAACACTAACCTAGGTGTTGCTGAGAAGGCATTTAGCAGCTGTGGTTGACATCTATAGTCGCTGACTTGAGGGAAAGTGGCTCCATGAGGTGGGTGAGCTTCATCCAACCAACTGAAGGCCTTAAGAGCAAAACTTGTGGTTTCCCAGAACTTGTGCCTCAAGCCTAAAGCCTCAATGCCTTGCAGAGCTGTCCTGCAGAATTCAAGACTTGCAGGGAACCCACAATCACACAAGCCCATTCCTTATAAATGTCTCAACACACACCTGAACCGCACCGCACCAGCCCCCCCAACCTATTGGGTCTGCTTCTCTGGGCTGAGATGAATTACTACCACAGCATTGTTTATGGTACTGAAATACAAAAAAATCTTACAAGTTCATCAACAGGAACTGGCTAAATTGCAATATGTGCATTCAAAAGAATTAAATACAAAAAATAAAATTAATCACATCTACAGATAGCAATTTGGATTACAAAAAGCAAGTTAAAGGGAATGTATGGTATCAAAATGTAAATATTAAAAATATAAAAAGGATGCTACATGTTACTGGGGGTGCATAGATTTAAAGTATAAAATGTGCAAAATATATTTTAAAAATCAGGTAACAGCCACTCTAAGAAGGGGCTATCTTGCTTTGGCTGTTATCTGTAATGCTTCGCTGCTTTATGAAAATCTGGGTGGTAGGTAGGCAAATACTATTTTCTGTAGTTTTTATGTGTGTAGAATTTCAAAACATTTTTTTAAAGAATTAAAGATGAAGAAAAATAATTAAAAAGAAAGCCTTCACTGTGTGATCTGTGTTTCTTAATATAGTATCTGTGTCCCAATTTAAAATAATCTTGTCCCACGCTCAGGGAAATACTCTTCAAGCATATTTTTTGTTCTGAAACCTTGAATTATTCCTCATACTGTAATGCACATTATATCTGCCAACTGTTTGGGGTCAGCAAACTGCAGCTTGGGAGCTACATGCGGCTCTTTGGGTACGTACATGTGGCTCTGAAATAAAACTGAAAATGAAAATAAAACTATCATAGTTTCATTTATAAAATTTTAAAAGGATATTATTCACTTAATGATTATGTAAAAATATATTTATGGCTCTCGAATAATTTTTAAATTGTTGTGTGGAACAGGATTGGTTCTTCCAGAGGTTGACAAACTTTTGAGATGGAACATACCTAAGGAACCGCATGTGGCTCGCGAGCCACAGTTTGCCGACCCCTAGACTAGAGCAACAATTTACACTTACATTTTTTACATTCCCACTGGCAGTATATGAGGGTTCTAATTTCTCCACATCTTCTCCAACACTTGTTATTATCTGACTTTTTTATTCTAGCCAGTGGGTGTGAAGCAGTGTCTCACTGTGGTTTTGATTTGCATTTCTCTGGTGACAAAGAATGTTGAGCATATTTAATATGCTTACCGGCCATTTGTGTATGTTCCCCGGAGAAACATCTATTCAGATCCTTTGCCCCCTTGTGGATTGGGTTATTTGACTAGAATGAGAATGTAAAATAGTATGGCCACTTTGGAAAAACAGTCTAGCAGTTCTTCAAAAGGTTAAATATAGAATTACCATATAACTCAGCAATTTCATTTCTAGGTATGCAGCCCAGAGAAATGAAAACCTATGTCCACATAAAAACTTGCACACACATGTTTGCAGCAGCATTATTCGTAACAGCCAAAAAGTGGAAACAAGCCAAATGTCCCCGGGTAATGAATATACAGTATATGTAGTATAACCATATGATGGACTATTTTACTGCCATAAAAAAGAATTTAGTGCTAATCCATGCTCAGTATGAATGAAACCTGAAAACATTATGCTAAATGAAAGCAGCCAGTCACACACACACACACAAATACCATATTGTACTATTCCATTTATATGAAGTGTCCAGAATAGGCAACTCCATAGAGTAGTAGTTGCCAGAGAGTGTGGGGTGTTTGGGAGTGATGGGGAGTGACTGCCAGTGGGCATAGGGTTTCTTTATGGGATGATGAGAATGGTCTGAAATTGATTATAGTGATGGGTGTACAAATCTCTGAATATACTAAATCCACTAAATTATACAGCTTATTTTTTTAATTTTACTTTTTTCAAAGTTGCAGAAAAGGAGTTTATTAGAAGTAAAAA